ATAAATTTTTTATGAGCAGTTAGTACAAATAGCGCTATTAACAGACATTTAAACACATTTCAGTATAACTGCAGTTTAATATAATATGCTTGACAGTTCCGTCTTGTTCGGGACTTGTCACCAAGATGTACTTGTATTTCTAGTTATTGATGATGTTTCCACCTGGACTGGAACCCATCAGTCACCATTTAGGAACATGAAAGCGTCATCCACCAGGCTAATGAGCCACGAGGTTCACATCTTGTGCAACGAGTGATGGTCGTTATTTGTTGAAGTTAATTTGTATTTGTTGCAGGCTGACTTTCATTCGGTCAAAATGTTTAGTTACTATTGACATATCTACCGAAGGTAGTACTTGAGTAAATATGGATAAAAGTCAGGAAGCACGTGGTTAAAATGTTTTACCGTATCATCCCAGGTAGTTGGATAGTTAAACGTTTGATATCTTGATAACTGGTGAAGCTTGTTGAAAATTACAAATGAAGAGAATACTTCGTTTGTTATAACTGGTAAATAGAGGTAAGTGGAGTTTTGTCTGAAGCAAGTATGATTTCATATGATAGGTGAAATTAAAAGGATCACATAAATACCACCCAAGTCTAGTAAAACTGCTTTCTGAATAGACTCTACTGTTTACTTTTCAAGGGGGGATGTACAAATTAAAAGAATGGAGATGATATCCTACGAAGAGGAAGGCTGATCAGTCAGTTGCTTTGAACACTCTAGATAGTACATTATGCATATACATATGTATATATATGCTGTACTTATTTTGCGTTTGTCACTGATGAATTCTTTGGATTAATGACTTTTCGGTGGCATTTTGATTAAAATCTCTATTTGTTTTCTTTGGGCGTCTTGTGTTGTCGTTGGTCTACTTATTCTGTCCGCGAAACACTGTATTGAACCTCCTTTTCTTTGACTGTATAAGCTAGAAAACAAGAAAGAAAATGAAACCATGAGAAGATATTACGAACGATTATAGAAATACTGTGGCGCCGACATATATGAAAGTTACTGTAGAGACAATCGAAAGACGCCTCAAAAACAACAAGTATTCTAATCACATTTAAGACTATGAATCTAATTTGAAACAAACTTAACCAATAAAAATATCCAACAAAAAAATGAACAGCAATAATGTAGTTCATAAAAGAACTTGTGTTGAATGTTTCATTAGTTGTGTGAGTCCGATGTCTGGACCACAAAAACAGAGGTGAATGAAAGTAAACGTTTGACTAAAGCTCAGGCCACAGGAACACATGCATGCCATAATTCGCAAACAAAAATTAACCCATAACGGCACATGTGTGAGATAGGGGACATAACATCGATTGAGATGAAAGGCCTATAACAGGATTTGTATTCATGAATGTCACCCCAAACACATGCAACAATGATGACTCGGCGAAACTGTCAACAACCTTGAATATAATTCTGGAAAGAGGGAAATGAAGAAATGAAAATAAATGGGTGAGGTAATAAATATATATGACTGAAAATTGTAAGTTTGTGAAGTAAGAACTATTCCAACTGTCGGTGTCACCACGTTTATAACAAAAATATACAAAAGCCTATAGTTGTATGTAAAAAACCAGAGAGATATAATTATAATTGATAGATGAGAGTACTTTCCTTGAATATTCTGGTTACACGTGGTGTTGGAAATGGCCCTAGTATAATACTACAACGTGTGCAAATATTACAGCTATTTTTATTATTCCTTCACGTTCCCAGTGGAACATATGGCTTCAAGCTAGAGGCTTTAAGTTTCTGTAGCAGTGTTTATTTTTACAGGATGGGGTTGCAAGCCTCATGTTCGACCATACCCCTATACCAGCGGTTTTTAATATTGGCTCAGCGAGGTAAAGGAGTTCGTCAGCCTGGAATCAAATCCCGGACCACATGCGTGGTCGGCGAGCGACCTAACCGTAATGCCACAGACGCATATTACGGCTATGCTCTGTTTTTATACAGACAGACAGTGAGCAGATCAACACTGAAAAACCTACAACTACAATATATACGTAGAATTTTGATAAATTGTTTTATTCTACTTACAAATTTGATAGTAGTTGAATATAAAAGATGGTCTTTTTCGGCAGGTAAAATCAATATGTTGAAATCTGATCTATCTATGGTATGGAATCACATTCAAAATTTGATTACGCGAACATTGATTCAATGGCTTCAAATACTTCTACTGCAGAGCAAAGTTAGGCAGATAACAAGGAGTTGAAAAGAAGATATTTTTCTGGTGATTTCATTTTCAATTGCAATATAGTCGCAACTTATATATATTTTGTTTATACAGTATAGCTTAGTTGCAAGTATTTTTCTGTTAGACATGATGGTAACTGTAATATTAAAATGGGAACTTCCTTGGGAGCGATATGAAAAACTGAAATTGAGGTCATTCACAAAGAGCACAGAACCCACCGTTATACAGACTTGGAAATATGGCTACATGGTATGTGAAACAAACTTTCAAAGATAAATTGTAATGAAGATGTGATTTTTCAGCCGTAGGTGAGAAGAAACTGGAGCAAACAACTGGAAATAAGGTTGCCTGAAAACCAAATTCATGGTAGTTGTAGTGGCTAGACAAGATTCTCACCATTGAATAATGGAGTCTTATCCGGAAATGCAGAAAGGTTTCTTTAATATCAAGGAGTTCTTAGTACACTGTTTCAGCAGGGGTTTATTTTAGGGAAGCAAATTATTGCGAATGGTGATACAATTGAGATAGTATGGAAGGTACTGTGAAGGTAGTGATTCATATCATTTCTAATAGAATCATCTCCACCTCTGTGTAACGATGCTGGAAAGTGTTATCTGATGTTTCCTGTCGCGAGGGCGAATATATGGGTTGTTCTCCGGATGTTCTTTCTAAACGCAGTAGCTACACAGCGCAGTATAGAAGTTTATTTTATATCCTTTCACAACTTCATGTTATATTTCTGGAATATTCAGTCAAATAAATTTACCAGCTTTGCGATATCCGCTGAAACTTTGTTATCGGTTTCATGCAGAAATAAACTTTATCGCAGTTGCCTATAGTGCGGTTTTACTTGTAGTTTAGAGTCACTTTAAGTAATAAGCAAAGGAAATCATCGTGAAAACGAAGGAAATGTTGTTTTCCCTGCACCTGTTAAAAGCAGTATACTTGAAATCTCAGGTGAACCACAAAAATATGAATACCTTTGATTTCGTTGCAATCCCTCTGTTCTCATGATGAATGTCCACTTCAAGCAGAAGACATACTTGCTTCGCGAAATCCTAACGTCTTATTATTATTTTTTAATTTTTTTTATTTCAGCTTGATTCCACATCGTATTTTGTGGTACAGGCATGGAATTTTCAGCATGTGATATCGGTAACCCAAATTTTGCAGGCCGACCATAGATATCAGGTGTGAGTCAGCAGGGGATCGAACCCTGAACCATGAGCATGGTCGCCGAGCTTCCTAACCACTGTGCCACCGACGCATCAATTAAATAAAGATATAATTGAACAGGCATTCAATACATCAACAGTTTCTCCCAGTTGCTTGAAGCTGTATACTCTGTAATACTATCGTGGTACTGTTTGCGGAAATATTTTTTACTTGAAAATAAATCGGGCTATTCTTCAATTGAATGTCTTTCGGATACGACTTGGTAGAATGATTTTGGCTTTCAGATGGTTACTGTTATCTTAATCTGTAACACTGGTACTCTATAGGAAAGAATAGTGTCCTTAAAAATTTACAGTTCAATAGTATTATTCACTACAATCGTATAAACTTTCCGTCAAACATCTGAAGATTGTTAGTGAATACAAAAATTGAACTATACAATTTTCTAATCACAGGTTACTGAGAATACATTTTAAGTAGGACTAACGAAAAAAACTCTCCATGTTATAAGAATCTTCACTCATTATTTAAACAATAACAACTCCAAGCTGATTACAACTAAATATATTCAGAATGTAGCGAACTGAGAAATGCTTTTTTTTATTTACTGCTCACTTCGTCTGTCTTCGGAGAGGATTACTCGACCACTGTGAATTATTAGTATTAGATGGTTGATAGCGGTCGGCCAGTGACGCAGGCGCCAGTCTCAGAAGTGACAAGAGTTCCTTCGAGGTTGCAGACACGCCTTTCTGATGAGTGCCAACTAGCACGAAACTTAAGTCCAAGGCATCCTACCGAGTGCCTCCAACCATCTAATACCAACAATTCACAGTGCACTACGATGACAAGCTCCTTGGCAAAGTGGACACATCGCAAACTTGACTGATCGAATTTAGTGTGCCCGAAAGTTAGGACTAGACACATTTATACTAGTTACTGACTAGTATTCAAAAGAAACTTGCTGCATATAAGGACTGTAATAAGTGGTTTCCCATTTGTCTGTTAACTTAACTTTTAACTAACTGGTATCTTTTAGTCTTCTTTTATCATTTAGTAAAATGTTTTCTAGTAAATACTAAATTTAGTTTTATAGCTCCTCTGGTCTTCTTATGGCTTGAATAATATAATGAAATATCAGGCGAATTCAAGTTATTTCAATAATTTATGAAAATAGTCTGAAAGTTCACAGTTCTATGCTATTTTTTCTTATTGAGGCAATTCAAAGTGAATCGTACTGAATAAGGAATTGATTGTTTTTATGCGGTATACTTTAGATTAATTCGCCAACGTAATTCTTCATTTCACAACCCTTTAATTATTGAATTTAAAAATTATTAAAGTCGAATCATAAATACCTCTTTTTTTACAGGCCTTCGTCCTATGATTGTTATTATTATTATTAATATTATTATGAGAAATTCTTGTTGGACTAACCAACTATTCATTAATTCGTCAAAAGGAAAATCGTCTTTTAATTGTTATCACTATTAATCATTGCGTCAATAGTTTTCAGCTAGTTCCCACTTTAGTAAACCTTGTTTTTCTACTGGTTACTTTATTTACACCAAATAAACCATTGATTTCTTGTCTACAATATAAAGGTATGGTCAATTTACTTTGTAAAACTTTTCAACAAATTACAGGAAAAATGTTTAAAGCTAATGTGGGTGATTTATTCGCTTAATGATTAACTATAATTGAAAATATCTTTCTATTCTTCTTTTTTTGATTGTCAACTAGGTGATCTTATGGACTGCGTTTATTATATGCCTTTATGTGTCTGATGTACACAGTCAAAATAGTGAGTTTTCTTGAATAACTGAAATTTATGCATGCTCTTATTTTAAAGCTGTACGTTGCTTGAATACTGACTAATTATTTCATAGAATATTTGTATGTGAGATTGTAGATTAGTTTAATCGTAAGATTATCTAATACTTTTTCTTATTTCTTCGAGTTCCAAGTGGAACATAGGGCTTCAAAAGCGTATCTTTGAAGTTTCAGCTGTTGTTTTCTGCTGGATGGAAGGAATTTCTAGCCTCACGCCCAAACTCCCCTGTCTTAGTCTGGCTTACAGTTGGCTAGAGGAGGCCAAGGCATGCATCGGCCGGGAATGGAACCCCAGGTGACATGCATAATCAGCCAGCGACTCTATACAATACTTGGTAATATGTTTTGAAGGTGAAACATATTAGTAAAAGACCCAATCTATAGAATTGGATTGTTGTATGAATTCTAAACCCCAAACAATTTAGACTTACATAAAACGAATAGAATCATAACAGATGACTAAAAAATGACTTTATGTGGGGAGCCATATTCAATCATTTTTATTGTAATGGTTATTCCACTTCAAAAGATTTTTATTCCGTAAAATTTAAATATCACAAATCATATGTTTGAAAGCTTACAAAGGAACTGAATGATAGGAACACTCATTTTGAGAATAAACAAGGGGTTCACAGCCGAAAAATGAATATTTTCACTCAGGAAAATACCCATCTTAGCATAAATATGCATTATTAAAAGCCTAATGGAAAAGCACTTCAAATCTAAGTGTATATATAATGTTTTGTCCTAAAGGTCAAAATTATGAAGAGCTTGTGTTATAAGCATTCGTTCATAAATGAAGTGAGTAAACCAAATAACCAGAAATAAGAAAAAATTGCCCGTTTCCTCTAGCTATGAACCTATACACTGTTAAAAGTATCAATATAGTCTAACTAGTGTAAATCAGTTTATAATAATTTGAAGTTATGCGAAATACACCTATAACCATTGAAGTAACTATATTGTAAAGACAGTGATAAAGTTAAGTTCACTGAAGAATCAGTTTTCCGTCGCAACATAAAATTACTAATGAATAGGTCGTAGTTTATGAATTCCATGTTTTCAGTGAACTCGTATAAGTAGTTATGCGTTAACTGCTTACATTCCTATTTCTCAGAAAGAAAGCAGTACACCGTGTATAAAGGGAAGTCTTCCACTTCACTGCCTATTAAAGCTGGTATCCCTCAAGGCACTGTCCTTTCTCCTTTTCTTTTTTCTTTCTTCTTACATGACTTGCCTCACTCTGATGAAATAAACTTTGTGAAGTACGCTGATGATTTAACAGTTTCAATGGCTGTCAACTCCCAGATAGATTGTACGAAAATAAATAGCTTTCTGTCGAGAGTCAGTAAATGGTCTGAGTTTAACGGTCTTTAACCGAATCTTTCTAAATGTCAACCTGTTAATTTCAGCTTAAGATGTAAACGACAGTTAAAAGAAGTCGTTGATTCTCATGACAGTTGTAAAATTGACGACAATGATATAGGAATTAAATCAAAAATTAAGTATCTTAGACTCATTCTCTCTTCTGATCTCTCCTGGTCTTCCCATGTCCTAGCAATCTCCAGTAAAATATTCCGCCTGACATTTTACATCAAGAAGTTAAGGCACTCGGGTATAACTCAACCCCTTCTCTTACAGTTCATAAACTCTTGCATCCTACCTATTCGTCTTTATTGTTCACCCTTATTCTTTACTGTTTTGCTTAAAAAAGACTATGTCACAATTCGTAGAATGCTGAAGATTGTCAGAAGGGTGAGTGATGTCCCAGTGGACCACATAGTTAACATCGTTGTCGATAGGCACTTGACTTCGTGCAATAAATTTGCTAGAGGGATTTTGTCTGACTTGGGGCATCCACTTTACCGTCAGCTTTCCCCTTGCATCTCCTCAGGTAGAACAAGAAGTAACTTCAGAACACTGTATGCTCGCACGTCCAAGTATAAAAATTCTAAGATACGATACTTGGCACGTATTTTATGTGATGAAAATAGTGTCAGGAAAGAATTAACTAACCTTTTCTCATCTAGTAAATAAACAATTTCCTCCATCCATCCTTTTATACCTTCAAGTTACTACTTTTATTGTCTCTATTATATTTATGGTCCTGTCGTTTCTTTGTTTTACTCTCATAATTGCAAACACCAACTTATCTCTATGACTGCTGTAATCTTTGTTTTTCCCCTCACTATATCATGTAAAGAGAACATTATATTCAATATTCCTAAACATGCTAGGATTTCTATACCGCATCGACAATACTGTGCGAAACAAGCCCACGGCAATTTTCACTTTTATTATTATTATTACCTTAGTTGTTATCATTATTATTATTTTTTCCAATTAATAGGCTGAATGTTTTTAGCATTACCCCTTTTGTAAATGTGGAAAATTTTCTGTGTGATTAATTTTACTTATAATTTGAGGAAATCAGATGCAATATTGTGATTAATGCTGAAAATTCCATTCTGTATCACAAGTGCTGATTTTGGAGTAAAGTAAATCATTATTATTAATAATGCATGAGTATTTTCCTTTAAAAATCAGTCTTAAAGTCTACTCAAAGAGTTGTTGAGAAATAAGACATGTAATAGGAGAGTTAGCGTAGTTTTAATTTGTGAGTGGATGAGATACCTAAGAAAAGTGGCGGCGTGCGTGTTGCGAGTCAATAGAAGTAGGAGATCTTTTATCAAAGAATGTCATCCAAATGATTATAAATCACTACGTCTTGGTCTCGTAACCTTAATGTTTTCCTTTGCATGATATCTTAAGATTAAATGCATATTCCTGTATTAAAACTCTGATCACAAATACAGCAGCTATCCACTGCTATCTACGTTTAAAAATGGGTTTAAAATAATGACATGGTTATGCACTTCTGAGAAGTGAGACAAAGCGAAGACACCTCAGTGTTTGTAAAAAAAATAAGATAGATTCGTGAAAGGTCAGTGTCTTGTAAAAAGGATTAGGTATTTCATGCATCTATAACCAACATATTGTTTGCTACATTTTTCTGTTTAAAATGAACTTTAATTTGATTAACTAACTCAGTTGCTTGTCAGTATGGTGCACCTCCATTTTAGTTTGAATTTTACGTTCATGAAACACCATAACCTATATAAGTTGAGAGAGAAAGCCTTTATTAGAGGAATGAGAAATAAGGATTTTTCAACTGATTTAGAAATAAGCTAACCTGAGAATAAGTTGACTATTTCTCGAGGATAGAAAACTGAATTAAAATAACACACCAGTTTTCTGACTGATTGTACATTAAAATGTCGTACAGTAGATTTCGAATCATCTCCATAGAAACCTGTATTTTCTCTCCAAACTTATTTGCCTGATTTACAAGTTTGTAGAAAAGGTAAAAACAAAGAGAAGAGAATTTTATTACTCCATAAACGATGTAGAATGCATTCAGTGTGAATTATAAAAAATAAATAAAAATATATATATATATAACCCCCGTAAAGTAGTTTTTGTCTTCCATTATGGGTAAATTTTGTTTTGATAAAGTCTCATAGTGTTATACAGTAATGTTTACTGATGACCAAGTTTCGAGCACAATTTATTGCCACTCATAATCATATCAAGGTAATCACACGACTTCCTAAATTCATTTATATAGTTCCATTGTTTTTCTCTTGATTTTCACTTGATTTGATTGGTAATAGTATTTTCCATATTTCAGGTATGAGTGACGAGTCATTCCTATTGCATGTGTTGGGTGTAGACTCAATGAACAAGGATTCAGTAATCAACCTCTCTCTCCACCTATCTAGATTACTTTTTAGAATTTTAACCCTCTCCCACCCTATTGTGTGGTTGTGTGTTAGCGTATGCATTGCAATTGCTGAGCTTTTTTCTAAATTACTTATCTTCTCGGGGTCAACCATTCTTAGCTTGGCTAAATTCTTATGCTCTGACAATCTGACTACCCCTGACCTACTAGTTTGACCTATGTAGTTGACCTCACAGTCATTGCAGGGTATTTTGTAACTAGTATTATTTTGTCTAATTGGGTCAACTGGGTCCTTTAACCTACAGAGCTTGTCCCTGAGTGAGTTTGTAGGCTTAAATGCCACCCTAATTCCTATTTTATTCAGATTACTGAATCCTTGTTCATCGAATCTACACCCAACACATGCAATAGGAATGACTCGTCACTCATACCTGAAATATGGAAAATACTATTACCAATCAAATCAAGTGAAAATCAAGAGAAAAACAATGGAACTATATAAATGAATTTAGGAAGTCGTGTGATTACCTTGATATGATTATGAGTGGCAATAAATTGTGCTCGAAACTTGGTCATCAGTAAACATTACTGTATAACACTGCGAGACTTTATCAAAACAAAATTTACCCATAATGGAATTACACTCTACCACAGTGCACAAGTTTTATTCTTATATAGTTTTTGTCTTGTACAAAAGAAATCCTGCAATGAAACTCGCTGAAAATTTCAGAATAAAGCTTTTATTATTGTAATAATTTTCTCTCCTAGCTTTGTATTTCACACTTTAGATTTATTTTTTCCATAAGCCTTTGATTTTCCCGTGATTTACTGAAGTTAGAAGGAAGAAATAATTTAGATTTGTGAACTATAATAGCTAAATTAAGCTTCAGCAGAATAACTGCGATATTTGAGATGTTTTTCGTGTAATGTAGAATAAAATATTCATTCCGTTCCACAGGTGACACCAAAAATACTTCTTGATGAAGATGACTGGTAGACAGATCTTGATTTTAAGCAAAACTACGCTAATGTCTTCCTGAATGAAATTTATACACGATTGTTTTTGTGTAGTAAAATTGTCTCTGTCAATTTTATGTGCCTATCAGGGTTCATGTGTAAACCATCCAATTCTAAAATGTACAGAAGCTGACTATATTACTTCGAATATTCTCCGATAATGTGTACATAACAGTAATAGACACTATATATATATCGGCAAAAATATATGTACACTTTTAGTGATACGCAACACAGAAGCTTTTTTCTTCAGTTCACAGTTGTTTGAGAAGTTAGATACTGACCCATACATAGAAGTACTAAATAAGGCAATGTGTTTTCATTAAAAACTATTATCGTATTAAATTTGTGAAAAGAATATTTCTTCACCAAAAGCAAATATCATATGAATACAAAAATCTTAAACAGATCAGTTCCAAGATAGCTGTAATAGTGTTCATAATAATAAAGCCTTATTTTACACAATATGCGAACATATGGTGCAAACATTTTCGGCATATTTTGTTCCAAAATACTTTTTTCTTCATACACGATTTACATGTAAAGAAATAATCTGTAGGATATCTTCATTTCGTTGAAGAATTGCACAGCGTTTACTTGAAAGTAAGTTAAACCAGCGCGCAAATTCGTGTCCTTGGTCATTTCATATAACTTGACGATTAAAACAATGATAAATTCAGATGAAATTAAAAATTTCAGTGGAAAGTAGTAATTTTGGTAGCCCAGTGATTTAAGCAGACCGCCTATTTTTCGTTAACTTATTGTAAACAATGAAATATGCTTAAAATATCTGTCTGTTAATTTTTATTCTTTCGCAGAATCAAAGTCAGATCCACTAGATGAAAAACGCCATTCTGTCAATTACAGTAAGTTGCGGTAAAAGGAAATCAGTTTTGAAGGTCTTAGTCATTGATTCTATACTCTTGACTGAAAAAGATTTCCACTGAGATTATTGATGTTTATTTGAGCATTTATCACTTTGCTTGTACGTAGGTCTATAAGGTATTAGCGAAATTCAAAGCAGCTCAAACCTATATGAATGGTATTTAATGCCAATATGGAGGAATCATACTGTTATCCAATATTCATAATAGTAGATCTTTTTCATTTTTGCATTCCAAATGGGATGAATATGTGGCTTCAAGCATCAGCTTTGAGGTTTCAAAAGCAGCGGTATCGTCATTTTTACGGGTTAGGGTTACGATACTCATGTCCAATCTTCACCCTTTATGCGGTATGCTATTAGCGAATCGAGGTTTAGCAGTACGTTGGTTGGGAGTCATACATTAGGCCACGTGCAAAGCTGACTAGCATTCTACTGTTAAACCACTCATGTATTAATTTTTGACTAATTCGTCGCGTAAAGGAAAGAATTCTCTAATACACTGAAGCGAGAAGCAGTGAATTTTTGACACTTGGAAAGTCTGTTGTCAGACTAACAAGTTTAACAAGTAAGCAAGTTGGAATTTGCGAAAGAATCATTATTGGGTTGACCATATTGGATAAAATAAATATGAAGAAATCGGATAATCTGAAAATACCTTCTACAGTACATACTGTGTATTCAGTATACCATGTTTTATAGGCATACTCTACTGTGGCAGAAATGAATTTTAATTAGTTTTAAGCAAACTATTTACTTCATAAATAATGTTGAAGCTACTTTTTTCATAATTTTTGTCAAAACCTTTAGGTCAGCGACCTGGTAAGTTACAAAATTTCTATTTGAATTCTTATTTGTGAAAGTGCGGTGAATATTTTTTCTTTGCATCATTTTATAACAAGAAAGATCCTGATAGACGTATAAGTATTGTGCACCTGATACCACTGAATACCTCCCAGCTGAATAGCACAAGTAATCTCCAGTTCGATTACAATAAGTGATAAATATATAGTGTTGTATTTGTTTGAGGTGATTCTAAGTGTTGTTAAATTCTCCTGAATAACGAATAAAAGCAGTGTAGTGCTCATTGCTTATAGTTATCTTAAACAAGTAAAAGTGATCTCGTCACGAAGATGTTTTTGAAATGCGGTATAATTAAATGAAGTGAAAAATTACTGACTGGATGCTTATCCGGATTTGTTTTAAGTTTGACCAAGGGTTGATATCGCATTAAGAGGACTAGTGGAAACCACAGACTACTGGAGAGATGTTTCCCCCCAGTCTGGGTCTCACCAGCTGTTCGCATCGCTGGGATTCGAATCTAGGACCTTCTTATTACAGGATAAGCTCTCAGAACATTTAGCCACTGGGGACAGACTAAATGGTCATTGAATTCTAACTTCTATCGGTTCTATCGTGATTTTAGCGCGGACACCACTCTGAAATCTTCCTGTAACAACAACTATCAATCATATGCAGCATTCACTTGAATAGGAAAAATGTTTTTTTTATTATCATGAACAGTAATTATCCTCCAAAGATTGCCATGAGAGAGTCAAGTTATCATTGTGTAAACGATCAACACAGGAAATTATGTGGGTGAAGAATTTCGGTTCTTTGGTATAATGTAACTCTAAAATAAACAAGTTGATTTCATATAACCCACACAAACTGACACTCATGTGAATTATTAGCAATATAATGTGCTCAAAACGTCATCCACTTATTAATGCGGTATCACTGTGTGGTCTGCTAACTGGAATGATCTAGAGTTGAATTCACCACAAATTATTTGGTTACTGGAGTTAGTGACTGGAGACAGTAGATATGACTTATGCCTGATTCTCAATACTTTTCATTTTTTGGAAGAACGAAAAAGACAACACGGATACTCAGTATTTAATCTAACGTATATAACACTGCCATATTATTTTATGAACTTATGACATCAAATGTGGTTTGTAGCTAGATTGATGAAAGCTATAAGTCAGTGTGTTTAGTTTCTAAAAATATTATTCTGTCTGGCTCAAAAGGCATGTATTTATAATAGAAACAAGCTGATGTCTGCTTCTTACTTCACCAGAAAGTCAGAGCTTCTAACGAAAAATTCTAATTGTAAGTAAATTGTAGTTAAGCATGCTTTAGTTATGAAGTAAGTGCTGTATTATTATTATTTCCTTTACTTCCTAGAGAAACATTGGGCTTCAGCCATGTGTCTCTATTGCGTTCGGTCCTCTGCCAACGTTTTCATCTGGCTTCACGTCTGCCCACATGCTTTCATCTCCTATTCACATGACCTCCTCCAAGTCACCCTAGCACTGACGACCAAATCGCCGCTTCCCTTTCGGGTTCCACTCAAGCAATAGCTTGCCTAGTGATATCACCTGATGGTTTCCTCAGAGTATGGCCAATCCATGTCAATTTCTTCCTGCCTATTTGTTTCACAATCGGTTCCTGTTCGGTTGGTTCGCTCATTTCCAGAGATCCCTGTTGCTGATCTTTTCTGGCCATCTGATCCTGAGTAGTGAGTGAAGACAACTGTTCATAGAGGTCTGTAGTTTGTTTGATGTGCTCTTTATGACTCGCCAAGTCTCTGATCCGTATAGTAGCACTGACTGACTTCACATTGGAGTTGAAAATCCGGATCTTATTTTTGATTCTGAGTGCTGTTGACCTCCACACAGACTTAAGAGTAATGAAAGCTTGTCTTGCTTTTCCGATTCTGGCTTTGATGTCCTTGTCAGTTCCGCCTGTAGGTGAAACGACGCTTCCCTGGTAGGTAGGTTATGGAGTATGTTTCTTTTAGGTTACTCCCATTTATGCTGACTGGTTGTTGTCTGTTGTTGTTGTTGCTGTTGGTGTTGGCTAGGAATCTTCATCACCTCTATTTTCTCTATGTTCACCTGAAGTCCTATCTTTTATGCTTCTTCTGCCAACTTGTTGCTTTTCATCACTTGCATATCTTCCAGTTTGTGGGAAATCAGACATAAATACATCGTCGGCGAAGTCCAGATCCTCCAAGTTTTTGTGTGAGTCCATTTTATGGCTGTTCTCTCATTGCCCGCTGTTTGTTTCATTAACATGTGATAACCGTAAGCTGATTCTATTTTTTTTTCTGTCGCGCATTTTAGTTTCTCCGCATTTCAGAGCAATAAGTACACCTAGTCCAAACGGTAAGTATAATAAAATGATGACTTTAAACTTTGAATTATTGCCAGATTTTACTCAGAATTTCCTAATAATTTATTTGAAAAAAGACAAATATCAAGATTTATCAAGAAAACTATGCATTTAATTACTACATCTGCCTTTTCATGGAACATGCCTAGTAGTATTGCTCTCCTATAATGCTCATTCTGTCATAATTTTTGACATAACCAGAAGTTGGTCAGTGTATGTCAGCTAATAGTGAGTCATACTTGTAATTTAGAGGTGGCTGATTCAAATTCTAAGGCAACTCACATTTATGTATAGCTACATTGACGACAGCCCACTAAATGAGCGGCATTTGAGGTAGTCTTATCATTAGTAAATAAATACCACGAAATTCCTACATTTTAACTTCACCATAATAAGTCTTTTCTTGTTGATCTGTTGTTTATTTGTTAACTGTCTGCTTAGTTTTATTTGTAAACAAAAACAAGCAAAATTCTCTTGATCAATGAAATAAGACAGTGATTGCTATTCATTTTGAATAAACAATGTCAGTGGAAGTCGTTTAAATTATTATTATTATGTTTCTCATTAACTAATCATATTTTGGATTGCAAATCAATAAGATTTTATAATAGAATCAAAACTTTTGATTGGACAGTAGTAACTAGTCTGATGTGTCTAGTCCTTTCTTTGGTACAGCCGGAATTCTGTCAGTCAGGTTTGCAGTGTGGCTACCACCATTCTAGGCAGCTCACCATCACCGTGCACACTGATTTGGTGATATTAGATAGTTGCAAACCTGACTGATGGAATTTATTCAGCACCAAAGAAAGGACTAGACACGTCACACTAGTTACTTGTGTTCAATCAAAATACCCACTACAGTCCTACAGGAGGGCAGTCGCAAGCCCGAATAGCTGAGTGAAAGCGTCTCTGACTTCAGTACTAGGTGACGCGGGTTAGAATCTCAGAAGGGACATGACTTCCTGCTGACGAGTGACAATTAGCGCGAAACCTAGGTCGACAGCTGCCTGTGGCCGATTGCCTTCAACTATCTAATAACATCAAAACTTTCCTTAACAATGAATTTCATGTGTTACCAGTATCGTTTAAGTAGTATTGTGTCATGAGAGTTAAGTTAAAGGTCACCATAAGATGGGCTACTCAAAGGTTTATATCATCACTTGATTTCAGTTAAGCAGTGATTGTGAAACCCTTGCTTTTACTGAAGACTATTCTATTGTGGTCTTAAGCTCGTAACCAGTGTGCCTATGTTCAGAGTAATTCTGATTAAGTTATGAGAATGTTATCATTCAGGCTATGAAAGGGATTAGTACTTATTTTCGCGTATTCAATTGAAACATGATCAGATAAAGGCCAATATAAATATTTGAATTATATATGCATCTTTTGACTGATCATATTTGTTGTAGAATATCTTATTACCCTTACTGAAGTATGGAAGAAAGTTTTCAACTGTTATTTGTATGTTTTTATCTATTGACAGAAACAGTTAAGAAGCCAGTGAAATTTACTCTGAGAACCCGTAAGCTGAAATGAAATAAATTTTAATACACTACTTTCATCATTTTAAATATTTATTATTATTGAAAGGTGTTTTCATCGGTAATTTACTCTTCTTGTTTATCTAATATCCTAGAAAAGAAATCTCTTAATCACTTTTATATATTATAGATCCAACTAGGAGGCCAGTAAGAGTGGTAACATTGCCTAATAAATTGAGTGAGTTAAACTAAAATGAAGTGATTTCTGATTTATGTTTTTCACCTTTGAATTTTCAACCGTTTTAAGCGTTTACAATAATTCTGTGTATCGTATTTGAATTTTTAAACAAAAACTCTACTGGCACCTCCATATTTCTTAGTCGACATTGCTTCGTATCGTCACTTCTATCATTCCATAGAGCGTTTGCCATAAAACAAAGGTATAGTTTTAATATGCTTCAAGTGACCAGATAATGCATTCTCCCAATTGACTTGTTGCAAGATTAACAGTATTTCAACGAACGATAATGAGTACCTGACTAATGCACTACTATTCTTAAACCGAGAAGACACAGATCACACCCTTAAAAGACAAGTGACTAGGAATTTTAGCTCTCTGTGTGTGGAAGAACACAGATGTATTTGACAGCAGGATACTTAATCAGCTTATAATTTACAGTGATTGCAAAATACAGAAACTCTGCGCTGATATTTCCATTTGTAAAAGTTCTTCGTATTCTCATTCTTTAGTCTACATTTTGTGCTTTTTATGTTATTTCACGAATAATCTTTGCATTTCTCCTAATCGCCACTTTATCCGCCATTTCGCTATTCAAGATTTTTGATGAAAGCATCATGCAAAATATACTGCTTATAAATTTTCACTAGTAGCACATATGGCACATGTATTCCTGTCAAAATTGTTCGAGCGCAGCCTCTCCAACTCTCTAGGTGATGCTCGCTCTTGGTGACTATTGGTGCTGACTTTTTTTATCCTACTGTGTTCATCTCTGCCCTCGTATGCTGTTAACACTTTTCTGTTTGTCCATTCTTCTGACAGTATAAACAGGATAACGTCTCTTGGTCACAGTGTACGACGCTTCCCACTTTGTAAGGAGTTTTCTTGAACTCGACACACCTTCTGTATACTTCATCTGATCTCACTCTTCAACAGTAATGCATTGTTTCTCTTTCTCTTAATTTCTCAGAGTAGATTTTCGGTTTCTACTTCAGATTTCTGGCTGCTTTTTATTTTTATTTTCCGTCTAGTCGAACACCACTCATGATTATTCGGCAAAGTTTTCTTATAGTGGTCGTGGTTTTCTATCAAACATTAGGCAAAATAGCGGCTTCTTTGCTGTTTCCTGGATAAAGAGACGATTTTCTAGTGGAACTAACCCAAGCTCCTTTATCCTAGTTGCCTTCCTATGATGTCAGACTCGCTCTTAGTGCTATGTTATTTCCCTCAATCTAAGGATTAGTTTGAAGACGATATGGTGTTATCTGATCTCTCCAAATACTTAACTGTTGCAAATGCTCAATAAGTTCTCCAGTTTCATTGTTTAAACTCTGATCTGTCAGCATCATCTCTGGTTTACCGTAATCTGCACCGGCCATACCTTTCGCGCATTGATAAATGACCGTGTCTACCCATCATGCGACGTATTCTGTCATTACCAGCAGGTACTGCTTACCAAGAGAAAATATCCCATTACATCTAAGTATCACAAATCGTCTACTACCGTAAATGGGATCGATTATAGAGACGAGCATATACACTGATACCTTTTCATAAAATGATACTGCGGACAACACAGTACATATATGCAACATCTCTCATTCTTGGTCAGTAACTGCTTTATCTCAACAGGTCAGTCGATTTGTCTGTATCTTAATGTGTTAGCTGGTAACTGTCTAGCGTAACCTCATGGTGTAGTTACTGAGGTATCGTCGCCAATCAGCTTATACCATTTACTCGCCAAGCTAAAGTTCTGTAAACTTTCAGTTTTCATCGTTCCTCCTGGCTGAGAAACATGGTTAGCTCCGCATTAGTCGTAGGTCAGTTTATATCTATTGCATCAGTAGTCAGTTGTGTCAGTGGTAGAACCCAATGCTTGAGAGTGGGCAATTCTTAATAGGTGATGTTCTAGAGCATGAATTCTGTATACAGTCACATGTAACTCAGCCTCGTCAACCTATCTTGATTGAACATCTACCAACAAATTTTCCTTTCATATGACATACGAGGTGGTAAGTCCATACTGTTGTAGATGTATCGTCCACCTCAACAATTCCTCAAGTGAGTGTCTTTCTGTCTTCAACCAATTTGAAGTCTTATCATCAGATTGAATATTGAACCGTTGACTGAGTACATAAGGTCTCTATTCATCTGATGCCTACATTATTACAAAACTTTCTTTCTAGACAGCCACACACGTTTTGTTTCGTTGATGCTGAAAAACAGCTGGCCTTGGACAATCGGCCCTTAACGCCTTCTTGGTACTCCAAGTATTGCCTAGTAACTTGCACCCGAGGATTCTTGTAGTTAATATCACACACAATATTCTACTTATAAGTTCTAAGATTTCTCGAAAATATATGAAAGACGTAAAATCTTTTGATAACTTATAAAATGAAGTGACCACAGATATCGATCATATTTGAATTCAAATTAGCCTCAAACAAGAATTCACTCTATGACTTCATGTAAAACAAGAAAGATGACCATTCGTTTCTAATGTTGCTACTCAGAACAAGAGAAAACTTGATTATTAGTCACAAGATTCATCATGAAAAAAATAAGGTTATGTTGTATAATATCGATCAGACTCACAGTTATGAATAATATTGCAAAATAATCAAAAATTACACTCTGCTATCTTTACCTTTCTTTGTAGACTCAACTAAGATACCAGGAAAATTGACACCATATCCTCGGAAAGATAGTAAGTTAAACTGAAACACCTACATTATTTTGAATACTTATTTTTAGAGAAGGTTTTATTTGTTTCCTAAAAATGAGGAAAAAACATCTGAAATATTTTTGATTTTGTTGTATTCTCTTAGCTGGAGAGTTAATTTGCGAAGCTTTCATCCCCCAACTAGACGACATCTTCAGCTTATACTTCAATTTGTTGAAGTGGGCTTTTAGATTTCTCCACGAGTTTATTAATCATCTCTCCTGGTCGGTGACCTTGGACGTGATTGGTTGTATTGTATTGGAACTTATTGTTTATTTGGCTTGAACTTTGACCCTCTGTGTGTGAAGTTTCTTTCTTATTGGTTGATAAATTTTGTCTTTCTCGATGTGTCTATTGATTGATGATTCACTGGAATACCAGGCAAGCTTCTAAAAATTCTCTAACATTCTTGTTGTTTCCTCTCTCTAATATTTGAGCGTTGTCCGAGTCGAATTGATATCCGTGGTTGTCTGTATGTAGTGATATGAGGGAGTGGATATCATGTCTTTTGACGGCTAGCTTATATTCGGGGATACGAAGACGATGGAGACGTCCACTTTAGTGTTTTTCACAGTTGTTACAATTTATTTTGTAGATGATGTTGGTTTTATCTTCTTTCGCTGTTGAGTCTTTTGGTTGACATGGAATTGAGTGAAGTGACTTTGTTGGTTTGTGTACGACGTTAGTTCCTAAAGGTTTGAAGAGTCTTGTAGTTATTTCTGAGATATCCTTTATATATGGTAATGTGATTTTCTTTGTGCTTTTTGCTTTGTGTGCTGAAGATGTCGCCTAGTAGGTCGATGAAAGCTTCGCAAATTAACCATCCAGCTTAGAGAACACAACCACATCAAAATCATCCACCTGAGCTACAAATCTCTGTCCTATCTAAACATCTTAAATATTTTTTAAATAATAATCACATTACTACTTAAATCAGTAATAAGTGAGTTAGAGGCAGAAATACTACTTGAGATACACTTTCTCTTTTCTTTTTGTTTATATTTACAGATTTAACTAAGTTACCAGTGAAAAAGCCACCTTTTACTCATAGATCAAGTAAGACCATTCAAAGCAAAAATATTTATTGTATTGATGCTCTTCTTATATGGAGTGCTGTGCTAGTTTACTTTGCTTCTCATATTATGTCAGTTGCATCATTGGCGCTTTATTTTACTGCTTTCTAACATTTCAGTGTCATTTTCCCTCTGAGGTGGATAATTTAACCGAAAAGGTGCCTTTATCTTTCCAGAGAGAGAATTATTCTATTCTTTCTGGTTATTAGTGCCTTTTGCATATAGATGGATGGTTTTCATTTGACATAATTTCTTCAAAACTACTGAGCTTCCAGCAAATATCCGCTTCTAGGGTGTGATGGGGATTTGAGAACAATAAAAATGACCTATGCTGAAATGTGACTACATTCACTGTTTGCTCAAATACGTTATATTTAAGACTTAAAAAATCAGCTAAGTGAACTGGATGTTTCAGGTTGTGAAATACAACAAAGATAGATAGGTGATAAATATGCCAACCCTTATCCGTAAAAAGCCATCTTGTTCTGATAAGTAGTTGTAATTCAAATCATCCCACCAAATATCAGTCAAATGAATAAGCAGTCCAGATAATAATCTGTCCACTAAATAAAAAAAGGATAAAGAATAATTCCTACCAAACAGCTTTCAACAGAATCGATGCTAAGAGTTATCAAAACGCAGAAAGAGTTGATGGAAACAGTATTACCTGATGAATACGTTCAAGTGTTTGGTTACAGATTTGATGCAATGATTGAATGGTCTGCAAGCTTGCCTTTTAACGAGAAAGCCCTGTGTTCGTACAGATGAAGAGTCTCGGACTGAGACGAGACCGCTGTTCAGTACTCCCTGGTTTTCCATTGGTTATATTATTGATGAATAATCTAGTCCCTATAGTTCTACCATATAGAGAAAGGGAATCTGAAAACCTATACAGGTTTCTTAATAATACTGGAATTAGAGAGGGTGGTTACTTAAACCTTTAGGGTCACTCAGAGAAAAAAAAATGTATTAACCTTAGCATCTTAGTGACTTAATTAGACAGTATATGTCGTGCAGTAGCTGAGAGGTCATTTTCGTGGCTCAGATGAGTAATTTAGTGTCAATTAGTTTACCAGAATACAGGAAAAGTACTCAACTATCTCTTTGTATGTACTTGCACTAGGTTATGTAATAGTGCAAGAATATTAGAAAGTAAAAAGCTTATGTGGAGAAACGTTAGTTATTGAGCTTTGTTCTCATCAAACTGACTGTTTACATATTATAACAATTGCACCGCGAAAATTCCGTATGTGTGGAAAAAGTACTATCATGATTGTAGAAGTTTTTATTCGTCTCGAAAGAAGAGTAAGCAATATGTACTTGTTTCTTAACTTGGTTTTACAGATCCAACTACAAGGCAAGTGAGAATAGCACGGTCTCCCAGGAGAAGCAGTAAGTTAAACTGAAAAAACTTCGGTATTATATCTGCATCATCTGGTATATATTTTTAATTGCAGAAATTTTACTAGTCGTTATCGGTTAATCTAGATAAACTCTATAAATGTTTCCTTACTTCTCCCGATTATTTGACAGATTCCACTGTGAGGCATTTGAAAGTGACACGATCTCCAATCAATTCTACTAAGCGTAAGTAACGTATACATATAATGCAAAGTTTCGCGTTATTATGAAGTAGCCATTATTCATTGGGATCAAGTTTTGCTGGGCGACATTATCTTCGAAGAAATCCGACTCAACATTCACTTTCATATCTATGCATCTGACTGACAATGGACCACACCTATTTCCAGTTGCGTTGAATTTTAAACTAGTGATCCGATGGTTGAGAACGAAGCTCTTAGATCGATGAGCCTTAGGCAATTGTTATTTCCCTTCATTTTGGTTTCACTTTGTTTGATTAAGTTTATTTATTGAATGTGGAAATATTGTTTCTTATAGATAACTGCCCACAATGTAAGCAACTTACATATGATTGCAGCATGTAGTGTTCACCTGCAGACCTCCTAAAAATTAATCAGGTAACAACAAATGAAATATAATGCTAGGAGAGGGTTTTTGATTACGGCTTGATTCCACACTGTATTTTTGGTACAAGTACGGAATTTTTAGCATGTGATATCGGTAGCTTAAATTTTGCAGGCCAACCATTGATATCGGGTCTGTGTCGGCAGGGAATCGAACCCCAGTTCATGTACATGGTCGGTGAGAGTCCTAACCACTGTGCCACCGACGCACAGTCAGTCTTTTAACGTGAAATCTCAGCTTGTCTGTCAGGCTTCATCCGTAACATGGGTATTATTTAAACATGTTCTTTAGTACATGCTATTTGCGTCCTATGTACACCTTTTCCTGCTCTTTTGGCTCTTTTAGTTCTCCTTTCATATTATTATGTAGTTTTTGTAAGCTACAATGTCAATATATTTTGTTAATTTGAGAAATAATTTGCAAAAATACTCATTCTTACTGTATTTATAACTCATAATAATAATAATAAATTTGTGGATCTTACATTTTTTCTTGACCTATTACAGAACGACGACCAGGTAAGCTGATTCAGTATCATCTCTTTGTCAATTGCTGTGTATTTGTCATACGCTTATGTGTAAAAAGATAAAAATCTGAGAGTCGTTTATTGACGTAGTGTAGTGATTCCTAAATTATACAACCAGTTACTCCCTTGAAGTAGAATTCAAAAACGCCTAATTTAGCATTAGTCGTTGGCCCTGGTATAAGTCTAATTTAACTTCAACAAGTGTCTATGGTTTATAATAAAGGTTTTTTTGTATTTCCCAATAAATGAAAAACAAAACGATATCGTTGTTTTTACTGACGTTTCGCTGTTTAATGCTAATAACTTTATCAAAGTATTACTAAACAGGAATCCACAAAATCTCAGCACATAAACAACAAACAGTTAAGGGGGTGAGAAAAATAGACTTAGTTCAACTTAAAAGGACATATTGAAAGTCAAAATAACAATGAAGATCACTAAACCAACTAACAAACGTAGTAGTACATTTGTTATGATATCAAAACAAGGTTTACTAACTTGATGATCGTTCGTCAGTCTGAGGTCATTATTCGTTGTCAAGTTGGTCGATTGGCAAAGGTAACAAAATCAAGTGTAGATTATTGGATTTGATCAGTGTGTTTACATGGTGAACTTGTTTATCACATTCGTGGTGATTTTGTCACTTCATGGTGGAAGGGAGGGAGGTGTTGTAACCAGGTCAGATTCTGTTTTAGTCCATCATCCCTATTCAAGCAATTTGGATTCCACTTGATATGAAGTGCTTCTGATATTAGACGTTCTTTGTGATTTCTGAAATGCTTTTTCTGGATGATTTCAATATTGTCAAAATCAATTTTGTGGCCTGATTCTGTAGTGTGTAGACAAGCTATGGCTGATGATTTTTCAAGCCTTTCTAGTTCAACCGGATTTCTCGGTGGTCGAACAAATGCTCTACGGTGTTCATTTCTTCGGGTTTTGATTTCTTTCTGGCGATGTTTGTCCGATGTATATCGCATTGCATTCCAATCATTTTATTTTAAAGACACAATTAGATGGAGAATCTTTAGGGATTCGGTCTTTTATATGGACAGGGTTGCTTTGAAGTATGTCTGATGTTTTGAAGAAAACTCTAATATCGAGCTGATGAAGTACTCTTCTAATATCGTCTGACGTCTCTGCTCTATATGGAATGATGACTGTTGATGTCCATGTTTTAGGAATGCGTTTTTGGCCATACCTTTGTTGAGAGTGTGCTAGTCTAAGAAGAATTGAAAGAACTGAAATCTTTGCGCTGATAAGGTGTGATGGTAGTTCACCGACGTCTGATTCTGCTTCCGAAGTAAACTGGATCCTGGGAGATACACAGTTTATTTTCTCCAGGAATGAACTGTGTAGATATCGTTTTAGTACTACCAAAGTATCATCCACATATCTTAACCATATTTAGGAGTGAGTATGCTTGAAAAGATGTTATTTTTGAATCTATTCATGAATATTATATACCCACTGCCTAATTAAAAGTTAACTTGGTTTGGACATATATGTGTATAGTTTAAATTTTTATTTCGTTGAGCTTATTTTTTTGAGTTCCTTTACGTTCTCAATGGAACATAGGGTTTCAAGTTAGAGGCTTGAAGTTTCGGTAGCAGTGGTGTTTATTTTTACAGGATGGGGCTACTAGCCAAATTGCGAACCTTCCCTCTCTACCAGTCTTATTACTGGCATAGCGATGTAAAGGATTGAGTCGGCCGGGGATCGAACCCCGAACCGCGTGAGACGTTCTTGGCGAGCATTCTACCGCTTTGCCACCGACACACGTGAAGCCTATTGAGGAAGAGAAAATAATTCAGAAGTTAACATAATAACCCTACATTATCAAAGTCTCACCGTCTTTGTTACCTTTAGATTTATGTTACTGTTAGTTTTTCATGTGTTATTTGCTCAGTAAACTACACAATGTACAGAGTTCTGTAAGTTGTAAAAAGAATGACCTTTGAATATGTGATAAATTGTCAAACAAACACCTTCCTAAAACTTCAAATTTAATGACGCGAATAGTTTAGTCTTAAAACGATTTAACGTGTTTAACACACGTATCATTTATGCTGAAGTGTGTGTAGCTCATCATGAATATGCTGGAATACCTAAATTCGTTTCCTGATAAACTGAATTTCTGAGTCAAACTTTAGTTGTTGATATATTTCGTTGAACACTCCTATGTAATGTTGCATCTTATTTTCTATTTTGTAGTTTCTCCGCATTACAGAGGTATCCACAAGCCTCATAAAAATCGTAAGTGTATAATTTTTGAAAGTGGTATTGCTTTAAATCGTATTTTTCCAAAGGGCTAATAATCCCACCTTTGGTAGCACATGTCGTTTATCAATGCTTTGTGTTACATTGGATTGTTCCATTGTTCAAGTTTTATTCCCTTATTTACACCTATGAGGAATTCTCATATACTGTTGGTGGCCTAATCGTCTGTGTTCAATAGAAGTCTTTAATGAGCATAATGCAGTTTCTAGGGGAAATCCACCCACTCATACATGGTCAATATAAGTAAAGGTTTTCCTTATATTTGTGGCATCCCTTTCCCTTAGTGTCGCTGTTTGAAACGATGTACATTGTGTTACACAGTAATATATCTGTCTGTCTGTCTGTTTTCGACATAGAACTTTGCACAAATGTGCGGAAGTTCAAGTCGCCACATTCCGTGTAGCACGCGAAGCAAGAGAAGAAAGTACAAGAACAGCATAATAGAAACAGTGAGCAGAGGTGTGAGACAAAGGAGTAATAACGAAGAACAAAACAGTTTCATTGAAGATCATAAGTCACAGGGAGTGGATGCATCTGCGCCACTGAGAACGGTTTTGAGCCATGTCACCAATTGTTTCCAACCATAGATTTTTACCGTCCCGAGGACCCCAGCCTGGAAGTCTACACCTTCCTACGCGGCTTAGACCAACTGTTGTGGATTTCATTGACTGAGGCCAAGTTTTTGTTTGACCGCCGCTAGCTTTTTTCCAGCCTGACCCTATATCCGCTAACATAGCTCGTCGAGGGAGGCGATGACTTGGCATACGTAACACATGTCCTAACCATCTCAGTCTTTGTAGCTTCACGACTTCGTCGATTGATTTCCCCTGTTTACCTAGAACTCTACGCTTAACCTCAATGTTGCTCACCTTATTATGCCACTTTACACGGGAAATAGAACGCAGGCACCTATGATCAAAGACAGCTAGTCTTTTCATGTCTTCCACTCTGAGTGGCCAGGTCTCACAACCATACAGGAGGACGGAGCGGACTGATGAGCAGTACACCCGCCCTTTGGTCGATAGTCGAACATCTCGTCTACGCCAGAGACGGCGTAAACTAACAAATACGAAACGAGCCCCTTGTATTCGTGCTGAGATTTCGTCAGAGATCAGCCCGTTGGGGCTGATGGTACTTCCCAAATAAGTGAAGCGGTCAACGTGCTCTACCACTTCACTTCCTATTTTTAAACTAGGCGTCGATGTAGTCCAGTCCTGTAACATCATCTTGCATTTGGCTGGAGCGAATCGCATGCCAAACATTCGTAGATTGCGGCTCAAGGTGTTTAGAAGACTCTGCATTTCGTCAGCGTCTTCGCCTAGAAGGACTATATCGTCTGCATATTCCAAGTCAACGAGATTATTCCCAGGTAGCAAGTCAATCCCTGAGTCACTGAAGTCACCTAGGGTTAAGTCCATTAACACATCTATGATGAAGTTGAATAGAAAAGGAGATAATGGGCATCCTTGACGGACACCACTGGTCGTCATCAGTTCAGATGACAGCTCGCCGTAAGCCCTCACCTGGCTGTGTGAGTACGAGTAGAGTGCCTTAATCAGTGCAATATATTTTCTTGGAATTCCCTTTACAGCCAAGCATCTCCAGAGAACTTCCCGATCGACAGAGTGGTTTGTTTTCAGTCTGCTATAGCAGCACGTGAACGTCATAATCAAGCTATTAAAATTAGTGAGCTTTAAAAATAACTGAGGTTTAATAATATAAGACTAGAATTTGAACTCTATGGTAGAGTACAGTTTCTTCGTAGAATAACTTCATATAATAAAAATATATTATTATATTATTAGTCCCTTGAGTTCCCAGTGGAACATAGGGCTTCAACAACACACCTCCACTTTATTTTATTCTCTGTTGTCTTCTTTGCCTGGCTCTACGATTGACAATAACCTCTCATCTCCTCCTCGCCACACGATCTTCTTCATGTTAGCCTAGGACGTCGTTTCTCATTTGGACTCCACTAGAGGGTATTTCTTGGCACGCGATGTCCTTCGACAGCCTCCTCAACGTTTGCCCGATCCATCTCCATCTTTGCCTACATATTTGCTGAGCGATCGGCTCTTACTTCGTTGGTTTGTTCCCACAGTTTCTTGTTACTTATTCTTTCTGACCGGCCATTTGATCTTTACTATGGAGCCAGTAAAGGCAGCTGTTGATAAAATCTGCAACCTGGTACATAATCATATCAAGGACTTCAACGATTAGTGGCAATAAAGATTACTCGAAAATTCATAAACATATAGTAATGCATCTAATATTTTACAATGCCAAAACTTTTTACAAACATTAATACCGTATCTCGATAAATGAAATTATCCTGTGGTGAAATTACAGTTTATAAAAACAGAGAACCTTGCGATGATAGTACAACCAATAAACGTTTTTAGTATTTCACGCCATATTTTATTTATTACACTTAAAGAAAATCAAAATTATTTCTTAAATTTTTATTTGATGAATATGTACCTGCGTGGAAAACTTCATAACTTGCTATTTTGCCTTTTTAATTATAGACTCAGGTGTAGCGATCAAAGTAGGAATTCCAATGAATTATCGTGGTGGTGAGTAGTCATGTTTAAATGAGATAATTGGTTACCGTTTTGTGATGCCTTTTTCTGTAGATCACTTCGATGTCTGAGTTTTCATTAGTTGAATTATTTAAATGCCACTATAAGAAGAGGTGAATGTAGAAAACCAACATCAACTGGTCAGTATACTCAATTTTTTTCAGCTTCGAGCACTTGAAACACTAACGCGTTCTGATAAAGTGCTTCGTCCAAAGAGCAAGAGCAATCTGCACGGATGAATGTCATGATGAGGAATTTAATAATATTAAACGGTTGCTAAGTGAAAATGGTTATCCAGTGAAGTTCACTAATAAGGATATGATTCAAAAATCAAGGCAGCCCAAGGTATCAAAAGTTCCTAAAAAGACCTTATTCTTACAAATTCACTTACTTCAGGGTAACATCAGTGAGATACTAACACAAAGCCTTGGGGATGCGGTAAAAGGAGCATTCCTTGTTGCTGAATTACTCTGTGTCTTCAAAATCAGCCCTATTTTGCGTTCAGGAATAGAAGACAAACTGCCTAATTTTGCTTCTTCCATGTGTGTCTACCGATTTGACTGCTTTTGTGGAGCCAGTTACACAGGCCGAACAAGTAGGTGTGTTTCTCGTTGGACTTCCGAACATCACTGTGCGTGGTTAAGTAAGGGACAAGCAAAATCCATTCAACGTTCTATTCTATCTCATTTCGTGAATACAGAACACAAGATTGATGTTAACTAGGCTTTAAAAGTCATCTATCGCATACCACCTAATCTTAACTTCGCTTTAAGAGTTCGTCTGCTACATATTACTGAGGCTGGCTGTTGGGATCCACATTAAGAAGCCTAACTTATGTGTCCAAAAGAAGCTGGTTTAGACACTGTTCTTAACTTGGACACCAAGGCTCTAATGATCCTTAATTTTCTTGGTGTAATTTTCATTTGTAATTTTGTAATTTGTAATTTTCATTCGCTATTACACGTGTATGCTTATTATAATTTATGCATCTTTAGTGATCTGTAGTTGCATTGATCTTATTTAACGAATCGATATTATCTAAAAAAAACACCAATACTGTTAATGACTATTATTCTAGAATATTCTACGTATATAAGCATATAAATAATTGTAGAGCCATAAGAGGAAATTATTGAAAAGGATATTCTCTGCCCATTTTTTCGTTTTTTCTAGATGTCTGAGTGAATATTTTCGCCGTATTTTAATTTTGGTTAATGTGTTTGAATTAGACGGGTTAATTTTAATTGAAGTTTCAACAAATTACATAAAAACAGACTAAAAGTCAAATTATGTTTGCATGACAGACATTTTTTCACGTTTTGTAATCAGCGATTAAGAAGAAAAATTTATATGATGGTATTGTGATAGCCAATGAAGCAGAATACTACTACTAATAATAATGATTTTACTCTAAACACTACTTTTGACAACATGGAATTCTCAGAATGTCATACAATATCGTATATAATTTTCTCATCTACCGGTTGTATTACAGACAGATGAGAAGGTTTGATGTTATCAGATGTTGTCTGTCAATTCGAGGACATTTTCAATTTTCAAACCGAATGCATTACGACATTAATTATCAAAATACATTTCAAAATATGCATTTTTGAGGTTAACATCACATTAAGAGGATAAATATTGGAAAACAACAAGATATTTCACAGTATTTACTTACATGAGGCAAGTAACATTATCAGTCAATCGTTATTTAGAAACTTATGTCGTCCAGGAGGCTAAGGGCAGTAAACAAACTTGAAGTGAATAGAGGATAACTTCTTTTAGTGAGATATTTGTTTGGAAAGCCTGTAAAACTTACCAATTCGGACAGATACAGTGTTTTAAGGGCTAATGTGTATCATGAAACGACATTGAATGTTAAAGCAAAGAAAATCTATCCATCGGAATGATAGGTGCTATGACGAACGGAATCTTCTTCACCGAATCGACATGCGAGGTCGTACGTTCTGCGCAAATAATAGTTTATTTGAGTCATCAAATGCATCTTCTTTGAAGTGTTTCTTCTGTGAACCTAACAAGAATTTAGGCTTCAGAATTTCATCATGAGCTGACATTAGTTAGAGGACCATTGGAAAACCACCTGAGAGTACTGGACAGCTGTTTCGTCCTAGTTCGGGACTTTTCAGCAGTACGCACCCACCGGGATTTGAACCCAGAACCTTCCGGTTACAAGGCGAGTTCGTATTTAGGTACCTGCGTCTATGAATGAGAATGAAATTCTATCGGTTTCACTCTAGATAGCACCTATGAATACCTATACGATTAGAATTAATACAGTGCTACAAAATCGTAAAAAAAATGTACACGCATCTAGATGATTATTGAATCTTCGAAATGTAATCCAGTATTTTTTTATTTTCTTTCTAGCTTCCAAACTGGTAAGCGATAACTCATCACTAACGAAAGTTGACAAACGTAAGTTACAAGACATCATATTTGTTTTGTTATTATTATTATAGTCGCAGGAAAAGGGATTTTTCTGAATAGCATAGTTGACATTAACAATAATTATATATCTATTTGCCCTGAGTGTTATAAGGAAGACCTACTGATTTGAGATTATTGCCTAACTTCCCTTAACTAAAATGAACCTCCAAACACCACACAGTTACCACATGATCACTTGAAAGTATTCCCAGCACGCGGGTGGACACATAAGTCAGATTTAACTGAAATAATAATGACAACAGTGACAACATATTGTTATTCACATTACAGGGTATTCTTAATAGTTTACAAATCCTCGGAAATTCAAGCTGAAAATTAATTAGTTACATACCATCCAATCAGTTTATCATCTCAGCGTATGCGAGTTATATGACTTCACGAATAATAAGGATTGTTTGTCCTTCCTGTCACTAACGTAATACCTTAGCTGCTAATTTGTGAAGAAATTACTACCAATTCTAAGTTAAAAAAAAACATGGAAAACCATAAGAACTGATTTCTCACCGTCATACGTTGTCTTAAAATGTAATTTATCATAACCAAAGGGTAAATTGTGAAACTTACGGTGTCCAAGACAGTGAACCTGCTGACAGTTTAACAATGTTTAATCTTTGTTATCATAGCTGTGCATTATGTTTCAGTAAAGATGGTCTATTTAGCATATATCCCCTGATGAACAACAGTTTAATACCTTAGTATTTCAAATAGACATTTATATGACGACGTGCTAAGTGAAATGAATGAAAATCTTAGAGTCTACCTCCTAGTGAGATGACACCGAAATATCAGTTACGTGATACACATTCACAGCGTCAAGGAAAGTCATGCAACGATAGGGAAATGCATAAGTAATACTTAAATAATAATAATTATGATTTGCTTTATTCCAAAAACAGTACTTGTGATACAGAATGGAATTTTCAGTAATAATCACAATATTGCATCTAATTTCCTCAAATTATAAATAAAATTAGTCACACAGAAAATTTTTCACATTTACAATAGGGGTAATATCAAAGACATGCAGCATATAAAATGGAAATAATAATAATGATAACAGCCAAGGTAATATTAATAATAAAAGTGAAAATTGCCGTGGGCTTGTTTCACACAGTATTGTCGATGCGGTATAGAACTCCTGCATGTTTAAGAATATTGAATATAATGTTCTCTTTACATGATATGGTGAGGGTGAAACAAAGATTACAGCAGTCATGGAGATAAGTTGGTGTTTGCAATTATGAGAGTAAAACAAAGAAACAACAGGACCATAAATATAATAGAAACAATAAAAGTAGTAACTTGAAGGTATAAAAGGATGCATGGAGGAAATTGTTTATTTGCTAGATGAGAAAAGGTTAGTTAATTCTTTCCTGACACGATTTTCATCACATAAAATACGTGCCAAGTATCGTATCGTAGAATTTTTATACTTAGACGTGTGAGCATACAGTTATCTGAAGTTACTCCTTGTTCTACCTGAGGAGATGCAAGGGGAAAGCTGAGGGCAAAGTGGATGCTCCAAGTCATACAATGCAATTAGAAGCATTTGCTGTTTATCAAGGTAAACAGCTGCAAGAACATAATTCCTAGTTAGGTATACTTACCAAGGATCATTTCGCCTAGATTGATTATATTCAAAGTAATCGGGTCTAACACATTTGTGAAACATTATTCTTTTATTTTATGACCACACTATTAAACAATTCTGAAATGTACCTGGTGAAAAATGTACGGTTTTTAAATAATAATAACCATCAAACTCTTATGTTTGTGGCTTCAGGATGCTAGGGATAAAGTCGACTAATTCCCTGTGAATCTCGTATAGTTTATTTCTTTACGGATTATTCATTTGTGAGAGATTCCTCAAATGTTGTAGTGTATAAAGTGGGTGTAGAGAGTTGATTTAATCAAAAAAATAAATGTACAAATATTCACAATGTAGTAAATAAATATGCTTTTTTTTTACAGCCGCTGAATTAGATGAGAAGGATGATCACGAGACCAAGAGAGGTGAGCTTTCAATCTGTCGTATATCGTGCTCATAAACTGTACACTAAAGTATACATGTACGTTTGTGTATATATAGATTTATAAACATGTGTCTGAGGAATTTCTGATTTAAAATATCCTTCTATTTAGATTAGCTTAAGCGCCTAATTTTACTATTCGTTTTATCTTGCAGCCCATAAAAGATTCCAAAGGACTAGAGGTGAGTCCTGCTTTATAAAAACAAATGATGTTATTTGGTTAATGAAAATGATAAGAAGCAGGTTTTTGTATTATTTAGTACTATGTAATTAACTGAACTGATTTACATGCGATTTCACCAGTTGAGAAGTCTTCAGTACAATGCAGAAGTTCATAAGGATTTTGTTTGTTGACGTATAACACTCAGATCTTAACAACTGACTTACCTGATATCCCCTACATGATCATGATTTTGAATATAAAAACACATAACATGTATTTAACTGACCAGTATCAGTGTTCTTATACCACTTGGTTCAAATAATTGAATTTATTGGAGTTCTGTCTTCGCTGCTTCCAGAGGAACATACAGAACACTCAGGTGATGAAGGTAACCAACAACCAGCATTAATCTCTGTCATCAGGAAAAACTTCAAAGAGGTTACTTCCTCTACTTATCTGGGAAGCATTGTTTCAAACACAGGAGGAACGGATGTAGATGTCGAAACTGGCCGAAATCGGAAAGGCAAGATACTCCTTCAATGTTCTGAAATTAGTTTGCAAATCTTCAGCACTCCGCCCCAGCATAAAGAACAAGATTCTGATTTTCAACACAAATTTCAGCGAAGTCAGTCAGTTCTACTATGGTGGTTAAAACTTTGAGTGTCAAAAAAGGATTTCCAACAGTCTATTGTAGACTTTTATCAACAACTCCCCTCTTCTCTGGCTTCATACTGAAGATCAAATGACTGACTAGCCAGAAAGAATTTTGGGACAGGAAGCTCTCGCCACAAATCAACCAAGAGGTGATCACTCAACGAATACGTGGGGGAAAATAGAGATGAATTAGGCACGCGCCAAGGAGACCCTCGAATGAAATTGTGCATCAGGTCAACACTTGAGTGGAGTGGGTGTGAAGAAAAAGACAAGTTTGGAGTTGGTCAGAGAAAGGCATAGAGGATTTCAGAGATTATGGGCCATTGTAGGCCCACCTAAAGACGACAGTAGAAAATAGAATAAAGTAAAGATTTGTTTTTGATGCCCTATGTTCCACTTGAAACCCAAAGGAACAATAATAATAATAAAGTATTTGGATAAACGGGTGTTATACAAACATCGAAGTACTGCTCAGTTTTACATTAGTAATTAGACAAGAATAATTCTACTGATTTATTCGTGAAATTTCTGTCGATATGAGCGAGTTTTGAGGAAATAGGGTTTTCCTGAAAAGTGTGATAGGTTTGGACAATGGATTTCGGACAACTGCATCACACATCTACTCATAAGTTTATTTTATTTAGCAAAGTGATAACTGAAAAGTCAAACAAAAGAAACAGAATAGGAGACTGGGAGGTAAGGGGGAGAATAATTGACACTGCTGTTGGTAATGTAATCAGATAGGGATGAACAAGGTAGGTTAAGTGTGACAGTTGACTGCTTTTGGACACACAAGGGGGAACTTAGTTTTGCTATTGCTTATTACCGCGGGATATTTTAATATCTGCTCAACTATGATTTTGAAAATGATCTTGAAGACTATTTTCACATAATTCTTATGATTTTGAAGTGCTGGTTTGCAGGGATTTGACAAGTTACAGGATTTCATCATGAGCTGACATCGGTTAGAAAACCATTGGAAAATCTGGGAATACTGAATAGCTGTCTCGCCCTGGTTTAAGGTTCTTCAAATGTATGCACCCACTGTGGTTTGAATCCATGACCTTCCAGTAACATAAACCATTAAGCCAATGGTAAACCGATCTAATGGCCAACCCATGAATTCAAACTTCCACCAATTCACGATGTGGCGTGACCGCTAGCCAGTGTCATCGGCAAGTGGTTTTCCTCTGATCTGACCTGTTGTACCCCACCGGTCACGAATTTGTGATTCATATCAGTAATATGTCTTTCCGCCGAAAACGTTATAATCCACCACTTGCGCCTTTCCAGTTTTGTTTTTCGGGTAAATGTTCATCCATCCCAAATGTCTAGGCGTGATTACTCCCTCCGTTATATGTATATGCACACACACATGCAAAGGGGTACACGGTATATTAGGACACGGAACTACCTGCACAGTATTAAGGTTTGCAATAGGGCATGGTTTTGGAATTTTCAAAAATTCGTAGGTGGCTCGCACAGTATATTGTGCAGGTCAAAGAGATTGTGAAGATCACTGATTGGTATCTCTATATAGCCAAATTATGTATACCTTATCTTCAACGCACCATTTGCACAGATCTTTGTGTTTTGGTACTACTTGACTTCATGTTGTGTTTCTTTGTGTTCCTTTCACGTCACCCATCTATCTCCACAACTCTGTATTCTTTGCCTTTTCTAAAATCAGATGTACCTCCATGCTATTTGATGCTTTTATATCGATGAACGTCTCTCTATATACTACTGTTAATTCTTATCATTAGCACTAGCCGCACGACTTCTTTACTAAAGATATATTGGTATAAATAGTGTTCACATCAAAAGAGCATTTTTTGTCTCTCTTGTTTATTCCATTTCTTTTTATTTTCGTGTAAACTGAAAAGACAAGAAAATGTGAGAACGAAGTCTCCGAAACAATAAAGGCACTCTCAGACGACAAAACAATGCATTCTAGAGGGTTTTTTGACGAAAGAATACAGAAATGTATTTAGCAATGAAAAATACGTTTAATTTAGATTTTGAAATCTGAAATGAAGTAGTTCCCTGCCTTCGTTTTGTGTAAAATTCTATTTATCTCGTTTTATTTGTTGTGATGATGATGATGAAAAAATTAATGAAAACAAAACACGTAGATCAGCGAAGAGTCTTTTTTCGTTGACGAATTCATCTTCTTAGCTGTACAATCGCTAATATATATGTGTTGTTTTATATGTATGTGTACATTAAGTTTTTCAAACAAAATTACAATTGGTTAAGGTTATTTTAACTAAACAGATGAAGATTGGTAATACAAGTCAAGAAAATTAAGTGTTAATGAAAATAGGGTAGTAACAAAGGTGATCAGTTGTCACCTGCTGCTGTGGAGCCAGGTACATCGGTCATTCGACGCGCATCGTGTCCAAGAGGATTCAAGAACACTATCGAGCATAGCTGCGAAAAGGCAATAGGGGTGTAGTTAGGAGTGCGATAATTGAACACGTGGTTAACACTGATCATTCCATTTCAACAAACGCCTCCTTCAAAGTAATTTACAGAGTCAATAAAAGCCTAAGAAAGGCAATGTGATTTCTTCTTCTTTGTATCGCTGAAGCTCTGGACATTCGCATAGAAAAACCGGAGCTGTGCATACACAAGAAGACTACTCAACCACTTCTACTGTCATGGTAACAACATTTTTTATTTGATTTGAGTTCTTTTTGATTTTGATGACTTAATTTTGTTTCTTTGTCTGTTCTGTAATTGCTGATAATTCTTGTATTCATTTAGAACTCTTACGTAACTTCGTATTATCTACTTTGTTTCTATGTGCATCCTGAGTAAGACTCACTCATCAAACCATTCATTTATTACATAACTTCTTTTAACAGTTGTTTGTGGCAACTGATCACCTTTGTTACTACCCTATTTTCATTAACACTTAATTTTCTTGACTTGTATTACCAGTCCTTATCTGTTTAGTTAAAATAACCTTAACCAATTGTAATTTTGTTTGAAAAACTTAATGTACACATACATATAAAACAACACATATATATTAGCGATTGTACAGCTAAGAAGATGAATTCGTCAACGAAAAAAGACTCTTCGCTGATCTACGTGTTTTGTTTTCATTAATGCCTGGATGGGGATGAGATGAAAAATTTTTCCTCATATCTATTATCATCTGACAGAGTAACTGTAAATCGAAGTGAAAATAACGTCTTTGAACAATTTTTAAGAAGTAAGTGACTGGCTGAAAGTGACGTCAGCATTCTCCTCTGAAAGAATTCTGAATTGTCCAATGGAGATTATTCCATTATGTATAACTTCAGACTAGTTCAGTCATAATCAGGGGCCCATAGAGGAAGAAAGTTGTTCTTCTCATGAAGCATGTAACCATATGTAAATAAGGTTTAACTTGGTTTTTTTATACGTTGTAATGTAACTTACAAGAAATTCCATTTCTAAGGGAAGAACATCACACAACATCACAGTATTCTCCTGAAAGTTTTTTTTCTATTTTTGAACTTTGAACTAAACTTAGTTCGATGATTAATAAAAAACTTTTGTTTTATATTCATTTTAGCTGTAGTGGAAAGAATTAAAAACTATACTAGAAGTCGACGTGAACGACGTAAGCTTCTGTTTGCATAATAGCAATTCTATAACTTATTTTATGTGTTTTGGACAAGTAACCGTGGATTGATCAAAAATCCAACATTAACTGTTTACCATTAAACGACTTTTCTATGTGTTTTACTTCCTTGTTGATAAAATAGGATACGTGGTTAACTTTCAATAGTAAAACATTGTTGATTTTTATTTCTTCCGTCCCAGAAATACTGATCTATGACTAATATTCGTGGGAATTCGATGTACAAAACCCCCCATAATCAGTGGTAAATGTATGTCTGCATGTTTACTGTCATCCTACAATTTTTTGTTGGCAGTTACTCAAGGAAAAGGATGCCAGATAAGGAGACAAGCTGAAGTCACGGTAGAAGTGTGGTGAGGGCTAGCTGCTGGCCTAAATTGGTAGACAGGAATTTACGTCAATGTTTAAGTAGCCAATATTGGTCGTGAGAAAAATAAGAACAAAGACTGATTCAACAACCAATCCCAGCAGACTTTGCGTAGGTGGATACGATTTGCAGATAGATAATCTGAACTTCAATTAACGGCCACAAAGAGATGAAAGATTAACGTTCAGTGAGAAACCACCAATCAGAAGACTGTGTTTGTTTGCTTACAATAATCTATAATAATGTACATGAAAGTATATAAATATGTGTTGATTTCCTAGATAAACGATCTGTTGCCTGACCCTTGTCTTCTGTCGTCACAGAAGTACAGAAATCAAGTGCGTAATTTGCAATTCGCACATTTCTAGGTGTAATTTCACTAGTGAATTTATTCAGATCACAATATGTGATCTTCATTTATGCTTGATTTCCTGATTGTTATTTATAGTGTCAATCAGATCACATATTCTGAACTGAATAATTTTGGTTTCTGAAGTAAACTGATAAAATAATTACCTCGACCTGTGTAAATTGAAAATTTATTTGTAAAGCTGTGAACTAAATGGCATATTAAAAACTTGATTTTTGATCTTAACACTTCACACAGCTAGCTGGTTGTTTGAACTCTCGCGGATGATTTATGTTTGATGCCAAACAAAATCGAAGATTTACAAGCGAAAACCAACAAACTGGTCGAAGAAGCAGCCGGCGAAGACAGGACTCCAAGTGAACATAGACAAGACGGAGGTCATGAAAATAACCAATCAACAACAACAACAGCGGCAACATCCAGCGCCAATCACCATCAGCGAGAGGGATTTGAAAGAGGTAACCTCATTCATTCACTTATCTAGGGAGCATTGTCTCAACTACAGGCAGTCGGAACGAACGAGGATGTCAAGTCGAGCGAGAATCGGAAAGGCAGGCGAGAACACACACATTCATCAACCTGAAACCAATCTGGAAATCTTCGTCACTCAGCCAGGATCAACAACAAAATTTGGTTGGATTTTCAATACAAACAGCGTCAAGTCAGTCAGTTCTTCTATATGGATCAGAAACTTGGCGGGCGGGCGGGTCACAAAGAATATTTCCAAAAGGTTGCAGACTTTTATTAACAACTGTCTTTGCTCTATACTGAAGATCAGATGGTCGGGCCGGAAAGAATCACCAACAAGAATCTAAGGCTGGGAAGAAACAAAACAAAAACCAATCGCCAACCAACAAATATGCAGGAGAAGTGGAGATGGATTTCACACTCGCTGAGGAGGCCGCTGAGTGACATCGCGTGTCAGGACATCGTTTGAGTGGAACCTGAAAGAGAAGCGGGGAGTGGGTCGTCAGTGCGAGGGTGAAATAGAGGAGATCGTGTGAAGAGGAGTTGAAAGAGTATGGACTAAGATGGATGCAGGTGAAAAGTACAGCAGAAGACAGAAGCAAGTGGAGACGTGCAGTTGAAGCCGTATGTTCCACTAGGAACCCAAGGGAACAATAATAATAATGATAACAATGGTCTGAACTCCCTAAGCTCAGTCGAATGGTGTACACGAATGGTTAACTCGGCCACAAACTTGTAAAATAGATTTTTGGTGCTCAGACCACTTTGACCGGCCTAGCAAGCGTTCATGTCATTCTCTCAGTCAGTAACGTATAGTTTCATGCATTTATGTAATTCAGTATGCATATTTAAACTAAATCCTATATTTATTAGGATTTTTTACAACAAAATAATAATAAATTTATGGCTCAATTATTCCTCACAGGCTCCAAATCGGCAGGATGTTCAATTTGTAAGTACTGTTTAGAATAAAGTTATTATCATCATTATATAAGTCGTAGATTTTCCTGTAAATGACGCGTCACTTTCATGATATTGTTCATTTGGTGAATACACAATGCAGGTCATTTTCTACTATGGCAGCTTTTGCGAAGTTTGTGAATCAGTCATACGATTTCATCTAGTTTTTTCTATGATTTGATAAGGCAATAAGCATTAAATTTTTCTAACAATTAATTTGAAAGTTTGGAATGTAGGTTAGCCTAAGTAGTTCTTTTAAAGTCTTTTCAAATCTCACAGTAATTAGTAATCTTTCCAAAAAGCAAGAAAGTCACAGAATGCACTAGAGATATTTGCATAAATTAGCTTTCAGTCTGTTTGAAATTTTGTTGTTTATCCGACAGAGTTTTGAACAGAAGCATATATATAGGTAGATTGAAGCATCAGGTTGATATTTAAAGTCTTTTAGCACATTTAGGCGCTGATTTCATTGTAGCTATTTCTATGTATATTGAACAATACATTTGTGGTTTACCTAGACGTTACTATCTCATACTTTCGGATCATTACTTGCGAATACGCGTTCATAAATGTTTTAAACATATATTCTGCTTAATTTACTTTTCAGATTCTCACAGCTGGCTTTCTTACTCCGTGTTAATCAAGCACATAGTTGGTTGGATGTTACCCATCTTAGGTGCCCACTATCTTCTTTCATGAAAGACCAATTAGTTTTTTTCCCTGAAAAAGAATGATTATGGAAAACCAATTAATTTAATTTGTGTTACTCAGTGGGAATTGTTATTTTTCAGATAACATTATTATGCTCTGTGGATAAAATGTTTTACTATTTTGACGTATTATTGATATGGAAATATAGTTTGCATTAAAAAGTTTCTTTATTCTTTTACATTTAAATGGGATTGGGAAGACATACTGTCTATGAGGTCTTTCAACCTCCTGTATGGATTTTGTTCCAGTAGATGAAACGTTTTCTGATTGGAACCGTCTTCATCAGTAAGTGATAAAATGATGCGGTTTAGGTGGATATCGGTTCACAAATCTAATCCAACGGTTAGTAAACAACTAACAGACCATTACTTAGAGTTTGTGTTTCTAGACTCATCACCCCATAGCTTTTTTAGACGACAATAACCTTCAAAGCTTTGAATCAGTATTCCACAGATCCAAAGTTTAGATAGACTCAATTAAATTTCATGTTAACGGTTATAAGATATATCTATCAAATTAATGCAAACTTTAAAAGTAATTCTGAGTGGGTGCTAGACGTCGAACGAACTTAATATGATATAACTACAAGTCTTGAAACATTTCACTCTCTCATAAAAAGTGGCTACATACTTTATCGCGCATTCAACTGAACACAGTTTCATTTTACTTGTCGAAGTGAAAATATTGGTTGGAGGATTTCATCGTGAGATGACATCAGTTAGAGAACCATTTGAAAACCTCCAGAGAGTATTGGACAACTGTTTCGTTAGTTTAGTTTGGACTCTTCAGTAGTAAGCACCCACTGGGATTCGAACCCATGACCTTCTGAGGAGTTCCAGGTTAAGACGGAGCAGCTGTTCAGTACTCCCAGGTTTTCCAATATTTCTCGATAACATATCAGCTCATGGTGAAATCCTCCAACCAATCAATCAAAATTACAACAAAGGCATTACTTGATAAGTGAAAATATTTACCCGCGAACTAATCTACTATTTGGAAGTGCAGTATTAAAGCCTTCAAAACGATACTAGTCTGTTTCCATGCAGCCTAGTGGAGATTTGATTAAGTGTATCTTAGGAACGTCTTGTATTAAATTTGGTGGAAACATTGGTTTGGATAGGTTAAGAATAAAGTTTACTTAGCATTCATTATTATTCCCTTTAGGTTCCAAGCGGAACGAAGGGCTTTAACATTACATTACTTTAACATTACATTAATTTGTTCTGTTCTCTGCAGTCCTCGCTGGCTGCCCATGAACTTTTATTTCTGACTCGCACGATCTCCACCACATCTGCTTCAGTAGCGTAACTTCCCATTTCCCATCCGGGGTCCACTTGATGGTGTGTCTGGCGCGTAACGTCACTTAAGGTTCTCCTCAGTGTGTATCCCATTTATCTACATTTCTCTCAGAGTATTTGTTAAGCGATAGATTCTTGGTATAGAAAGAAGGAAGGTGTTGATAAACTTCTGAAGTCTTTTAAGAATGCTTTTGGTGAAGCTCCTCTGAATCATATAAAAGCATAGATTTGATATCGGATATACTTATACATTATGCTGGCGGAAATATGGAAATAGTAGCGACACAAATTTTAACACTCAATGCTAATAGATATGAAATTGAAGTTTTGTTCCCTGAAATAGTTTGTCCGATTATGAAGAAAATGTGTGTTGCATTTCCTGAATCTTCAAAGAAGTAAGGTTAACAGTAACAAACGTTCAAAATATTTTCCACCAGATTCCTTGTAAACGGAAAAAGTAATTTGAAGAAGACTGATACATTCATATTAGAAACGTGTATTTCCAAACGAGTGAGGGGTGGTTAGAATAATACAGTTGCTATATGCACATCAAAAGGAATCACTATGATGTTGGGTCACTGACTGAACGGCTGTCAGAATAATGAAATCCGACTGGTTGTTATTTGATTATCGCCTAACCAGTCAATATTTATACAGTTTAATTTCTGACCAATGGGCTGTTCAGCTAGTCTTAAGTTACACATAATACCTCCCACTTTAAAAAGACTGATGGTCAGTAACGCGCTTTTTCTGAGGCAGTATGTAATTGTGGAGGTATCTTTTGTTGTCAACTACTTTGTCTTCTTTCTGATCACCTTAAAAAGTCAACTGATACCACTAGATAAGACATGCCATTGATAGGACCAGCAAGGTCAATATGAATTCAGTACCATGGACTATCTGCAGTTGCACATTACGACGAGCTAAAGCACTGTGTGTGTGTGTGTGCAGAAGTATATATTACTCCATTAATAACATTAGTTAAGAGCGACTCATCAACAAACAGTGGCTTTGCTTGAAAAACAAAATCAAGGATAAACTAATGAATGAACTGATAAATGAGATTTTTAATAGACTTCCGAAGGCAGAGACATTATTATTGTAGAGTTGTGTTTATTTTCTTTGACAGAAAAGGTGAAATATCAAAGCCATCAGCATACAAGTAACCGTTAATATCAATACGTGATCGGCATATACTTTCACTTCACTCATTGAAAATCAGTATAAACTAACTTTTCACCGAAAGTTTGTGTATCCACCAGAGGTTAATAGCAATATATATATATATATATATATATATATTCATCATTAGCGTATTCGAACTAAATACTGAATATACCTAGGGTTCAATAGACACCTCCTTTTCACATTGAAGTCAAATATGTTTGTTAGCTAACCCCTCCGTATTAAGAAAATGCTGACGTTAATCTACTTTTTAAAAACACTTTTATATGGTGAACGTACAATGAGGAGACATCTTAGTGACGCCACTCGTCAAGATGGATTATGAGTGCAACTAAAATGATAAGCTACAAGTTGGATGTCTAACATGGAGGGGATTTTATGAGGGGGAAATGAAAGCTTGTAGGCAAACGTAGGGCTGGCTGAAAAAGACGCCAGAGATCAGGGTGCACTAGAAATGTGCTACTCAAGCCTTTTATTCCATTCTGAACCCAAAGGAGTGATCATAATATCAATAATAACAATGTTAGTTCCCAGGAAGTTTTTAGTACTGGTCTAATCCAGTCTAAATCTATCGTTGCTATTCGGACAATCTGGAATCCTTTTTCGTGATGTGCTTCTTCTATGAAATATTCAGTGTGATTTTTGAAATGCTTCTAGATGATGTCAATTTTGTCAGAATCAGTCTTTCGGGCTGATCACACAGCGTGTAAATCTATGGTCTGACAATCTTTAAGCTCTTCTAGGTCCACTAGGTTCCTAGGCGGTTGAAAAGGAGGTCCGATTTACATTGCAATACAGTATGATTTCTCTATTTTTCTATACAGAGTTACATTATGAAGCTTTTGAAATTTGGTCTATTGTATGAATGAGATCGCTTCGAAATGTATCTGATGTTGAAGCTGTCACACTATAGAACAGTACTTTTAATAAAATAATTATATTTATTTTATGAATGGGGTTGAGAGTGACTGATTTTCCCGGTGAAATGAATGACAAATTTTGTCCCTTTACAACATATCATACACATTGGTGAATATAACGTAGTGATGTCGGTAGACAGCTAGGCGAAATTCTCTTTTGATTAGCGATGCTCACTGAAGAAATGAAGCAGCATCGTGTAGCTGAAAACAAGCACCTAGCAGAGTGTTCACTGGTAACAGAATAAATTATATGATTGTTAGTGAATCTGCATTAAACATTTAATAGACATGATAAAGTACTTTAATGCTGAAAACACTATCGGTTAGTTCAGAAATTGTAAAGATCGTCATCATAACTGCCAGGCAGGATAAAATTGTGTTGTTACTGCTGAGGTAGTAAGATAAGTCAAAATAAACCGTCCACTACGTACTAAACATTACAATAAAACGAAAAATGTTTTTAAAAAAGAAGTTTATTTCAGTGAAAACATAAGACTTAATGGAAGAAGTCGAAAGCCAGCTGAAGAAGATATATTCACTTTCTACTTAGCTATGATGAAGTTTAAACATTTTTAGGAAATGTATCCAGGAGCTTAGTAAGTCAGAAGAGAAGTATTTTTGAAACCTTAGACGGTTCATCATTTTGAGATACCCGAGTACTAGAGGTGCAAACTATAAACTGAAGATCTGAATTTATAGGCGCTCTAAAATCTTGACGTTGAACAATCGGATGAATAGGTAATGAACGACGAAAAACCATATCTGTTTTTTTAAGATGCTGCTTTCAACTGCTTGCTTTCCGAAAGAAAAAAGGGATTTAGGATTCAAAGTTTAATTAGGAATGGTGTTTTTTCAAATGTTGGCTTTGTTGATCTGATACTCAATCGTCAATTTTCCGAGCTCATTGTTTGCCAGTAATCTAGCCAGGGTTTAAGAGTACATTGACAGCAAATTGAAGCCAGACTAAGTGCGTGATTTACTGATTACATCGCTGAACCATCCATTAAAGTTAAGATTTTCTCTTCCTCTATTTAGAATAGATACAATATTTTGAGTAAAATTTAAAACGTCATGACTAGTAGGGTGCAGCAGGTCGGGTGTGAGGACAAATACTCGCCGAAGACATTGGTTAGTGGTAGCGCTTTGTCATGAATTGGCAGAAGTTGGAATTCATAGGTCATTGGATTGGGTCCCAGTAGCTTAATCGTCTACGAGCTCGCTCTCCTTGTAACCGGAGGATCCTAGGTTCTAACCTCGCAATGCGGGTTCGTACTTCTGAAGAGTCGTAAACTAGCCTGGGTTCGAACCCTAGTGGGTGCGTATCGCCAAAGATTCCCAAACTAGGGTGAAACAGCTGTCCAGTACTCCATGTTGGTTTTCCAATGGCTTTCTAACTGATGTCAGCCCATGATGAAATCCTCTAAACAATCAATCAAATCCCCACAAACCAATGCTTAAAAAAACTGTCTGTTGCTCTGCAGCTGAAATATTTTGAATTTATAGGTATAAACATGACACAAATATGATACTTCTCAAATCCAAAACAGGTTTTGAAATGTCAGGAAAAATTCGTATATTACTTAAGTCTGGCAATGGAGTATTCTTGTTCTTCAGAACAGTTAAATAACGAACGATGTACCTATCAAAAATACTTATGTGTGTGTATTCCCGTTTGGCTACTTAAGTATTAGTTGTTTGAAATTGCTTCTGTTCAAAGGCTTTGGAAAACGCTGTCA